TGTTGCTTTCTCTTAGGACTATATTCATCTATATAATGAATTTTTCTTTTCTGTTTTGTCACGGTATACGATAATATGAAAGGGAAGGTATAACGCTTCTTACGTCTTACGACCCATCATATGCTCTAACGCACATTTGACAAGAAGCAAGTGGCATATATATATAGATCGATACAATGATCAAGCGAGTGACGTATGGGAGGGATAATCATAGGAAACAGAAGAAATGAGCCAGTCTCTGTTAAAAAATATTGTGTGAGGATAAATAATGGTCATACTCTATCTATGTGACAGTGAAAGACAGAAAGAACTTATATAAATTAGACATATTGTAACAACTCTGTGTTTCTCATTATGGCCCGACGTTATTACATGACATGACAAAACTATTCAGTAAATACTATTAATAGATACAAGATAATTTGACAGAGTTGATGGCCATTAGGGATAAAGTAGAAATTTTCAATAAGATTGCAATTCCATAGGGGAACAAATCAATATAGAATCGATCTCTGTGCCGTTCATGTGACACAAAAAGACAGAAAAAAAGCACAGTACAAAAAGAAATACATATGTTTCTCTGCGACACGAGAATCACAGAACAAGCGATTTTTACTTTATGTTTATTATCTCGAAATAATTGCTGTTCAAAAATAAATGTTGTTATGGGTATTTTCTTTTTCTCCTGATCTCCTCTCTTTGCCTTCTTTTATTTGTCTTCTCTGATGTCTAGCTGTCTTTATACATATTGAAAGACTCGTATCTCGGTTGTTTTTCTTGGTATGTGTATAATTAGAAATAAAACTCGAGGTCAACCTTAACAAATGTATAATGTTTTGTTATAACTACGCACTTTCCATCTTCAGATTCAGTTTATCCCGGTGTCTTACATCTGAATAGAAAAGTTACAGAAAAAGATTAACAAGACAAATTTTTCTTTCCATGAATACGTTAGAGATTCGCAGGTTATTCTTTTCTTGCTCGCATATATATTACAGATTCAAATGGTTAAATTGACGAACGTAGACAATCCACTGTTACGGTCCAAAAACATCACGAATAACACATACTCTATTTTCTTCTATCCTGATATTTCTCTTCATCGATCTGTTCGATTTTGGCTTTTACTTCTATTCAATATTCCATCGATTTTCTGCTCGCTATTTCTTTTTTATTATTTATTTAATAATCAATCATATCGTCAAATATTCTTTAATCATACTATCATTTTTCATCTTCTATTCAGTCTTCCATTTCAATTCATTGATATTCCATTGAAGCTTATCTTTTTTCATTTTGGCTTTGTATGGCCACAATCATCTATAATTTGTCTCATCTGGTGGTTTATCATCATTGGATTAAACGGTATTGTGAATATTGTTATAGCATGGACATCAATTGAAAGACATATACTCGTTTTTCATAATCGATGGATATCAAAGGAAAAAAATAAATTCTTTCTTCATTATCTACCCTTTACAATACTTTCTTCATATTCAATATTCTTTTATCTATATGTCATCTTCTTTCCTCCATGCATAAACTCGTTCAATTATACACTTCCAGTTTGTGGTTTCTCTCCATGTTATTATAATCATTCAATTCTTGGTATATTCGATTTCATGCTCAATTGGACAATACCTAGTCTGTGTATTATTGTAGCTAATTTGGCTCTTATATTTCGTATCATTCGACAAAAATTACGTCTTAATCGACCAATTCGATGGTGTCAACAACGTAAAATGACTCTTCAACTCGTGCCTATTTCTTTCCTCTATGTTTTTTTCACAGCACCAATTATTGGAATTACTTTTGTTCAATATGTTGGCATCGGACAATCGTATCTAGTTGGTCAAATCCAGTTATATATTATATTTGCCGCTGATTTTATCTTTTTACTTCTACCGTTCGCATATTTCATCTCATTGTCTGAAGTGTCAGAAAAGCTTTGGATTCGTTTACGAAGACGGCAACATCGAGCTGATACACCAAAGAGTTGTCGAACTTATCAAGCACCTCTCTTATAGATGAAACATTTCCATTTGGTAATTTAATAGTTCTTACATCCAAAGTATCTAAAAAAATTTACTTTTCTTTGAGCAAAGCTTGGGTATGTGAGAAAAGAGCAAATGATTACTCCACATCCCATCCTCACATTAATTTCAGATTTGTTTTTTATTCGAAT